ACAAGCTGAAACTCATTGAAAATGCGGGGAATCGGCTAATGAGAGGCATAATTCAGAAGGCATAAAGCACTGGCAGCGACCAGAGAGTAGAAGAACAATGCTGCGCTTGTTGTGCAATCAGAGAGCACTAAACACACCTGGCCTTTGGTCTCGTCGGACGCAATTGAGAGGTCGCTCACAGAATGACGAGCGCCTTCCATTTTCTAGCTATTTTATATTTTTTCTTTTCTTTTCCTGATACATTTGGAGTGTTGTCATGGATAATAGCTGCTGTCTGCAGCCTGACAACTCTTTTAAACACGTACTTGTGTTGTATATCTAATGGCTAAAAAACTGCGTATACGGAAAAAGAAAGTACAAAGAAGAGAGAGAGAAAGGGCCCTTGCTGCCGAATAACATTTTCGGACAGCACGCACAGAGAGTGGTGGTGTGCATTGCCAAGGCGTAAAGACCACCTGGAAATATTGATTCCGGAGACCCCAAGCCATTTTGCATTCCTTTGTACTGCAAGCCACGTCCATAAAGAATGCGAACGAATAACCAGCTGCTTACGCTCTCAGGCCGCCTGCCCCTGAACTAAAGCTACGTTCTAGTTCGTAGAACAACGTGTCTAGAAATAGAAATTGACAACATTACAACTTTTCGGCACGTAAGCAGCTGTTTTTCTAAAAAAAAAACATCTGTATAAATTCTCTTTTACAAGCAGCTGGTTGTGCATTGCTTTCTATCCCTAGTGTGGCTTGCTTTATTCTGGGATTTACCCACCACGGTTGCATTTATTTCGGTGCTTTGACAATGTTTAGTCTACAGTGATTTCTCGAGTCGAGAAGACAGTCGCACAATCTTCAGCGCGCGCATTACGCATTTGGATATATATTAGCTGCGTGAAGGTTTATTGCTGTGTTTCGTCACGGCCGCTCGATCGTCCTGGTTCCGTACTGCAAGTCTCGTTCGGGGAAAACACTTGGTGTTCTGATTGTTCCTTATCACGACTTCCCAAACAATACTGAGCTGTGCGGCAAGTGACAAAATAATCATTGCGAGACAACCTCACTATCAACGACAAGTCTGCATCGATAGCAGACACATGCCCGATGAAGACTATGTACCTGCGTTCCGCATCAGAAAACTAATTCCTGACTGCGCGCGCGCCTACGCTTTTCGAGAACTATCTTTCCTACATGATTTCAAGTGCATAGAAGCCTCGCAAAGATCCTGCTTCAAGAGTTTGGCCCCTGCGTCAAGCATCAATGGAGCGAAAAGCGGAGACCAGCAAAACAGAAACTTTACAATACGCTTTCACTTAACAAGAAGCAGCAAGTGTTAGCCCGCAAACAATAAACAGCGACGCTCATCGGGCGGGTCGATACCAGACTATGATAGGACGATTGCACTCCCAAGTGTCACACCATCGTTCAAAATGCGAGAAAGTGCAGTGATTGCTGAAAGAAGAAAAAAAATGCGTCGCAATGTTATCGCGAAAGCAAGCACCACGCATGCGTTAAGTAAATCACAGCAAATGCACAGAAAGGAGAGAGAAAGGCCGTGTTTCTTTTGCATCAAATAGAATGTGACGGAAGAAAGCATTCAGCGTGTCCAGACGATTTTGTAAGGGGTGTGTGGTATGCCGCTTTCTGTCAAGAGGCTACGATCATGCGCGCGCTTCGGGGCTCGTGACACTGCCAGCAAAGTGCACTCTTCAGAGGTGTATAGGTTCAAGCCCAGCACCATCAGATATGAGTAATGCCATAAACCATTTGTGCGTCTTCATTTATTAAGCAACTTCTTTTTCAGCGCGCAGTGAGTGGAGAAGCGCGCCCGAACTCGCGTGTTCGCGAGCTGTACGGAGCGGCGGAAGATGGCAGGGTCGCAGCGCCCTTCTCAAGGGAGTGGCAATAAGCATGTACTACCCCCGTTGCGATTCTGAAGGCCGTAAGAAGGGAGCGCGCAGCTAAAGTCTAACTCGGCCGCATTTCCAGTCAGATGGGATTGGGCCGCCCTTCAGGATAGTATACTGAAGAATGGTATGAAACACCCCAAAGCTCCGTGCTATCCTCACTCCTCTTCAATGTTGCATTGTTAGGACTTCCCAAACTTCTGGCTGACATCCCAAATCTGCATCACACACTCTGTACAGATGACCTCAACCAGTGGGTCACAAGAGGTAGTGATGGCCAAATCGAAGAAACCCTCCAAACAGCAATCGACCACGTGGGCAGCTATCACTCCACGATAGACCTGTCCTGCTCGGCGACAAAATCCAAATACATTGTTGTCAGATCACGGGGACGCAAACCCAAACAGATCTCTTTCAATCTCCAAGTGCAGGGGATGCAAATTCCCCCAAAAGATCACATCCGCATCTTAAGATTGCACCTACAGGCCAATGGTGGCAACTCTACCACTCTTCAGCGAATCGACCAATCTGCCAACCAAATTGGTTGCCTTCTCAAGCGCGTTGCCAACAAGAATGTAGGCATGCGCGAATCCAACCTTCTTCGGCTGGTTCAGGCATTTGTCTGCACACGCTTCACCTACGTGGCTCCCATACCTCCGCCTTACGCGCACTGATCTCGATCCCCTCGATACTTCGTTTCGCAATTAAGGCATACAAGACCGCCTTGTGACTCCCTTCTACCTCCAAACTTATGGCCCTTGTGGTGTCGAACACGGTCAATGAGCTTATAGAAGCTACCCTTACGTCCCAACACCAGTGGCTCTCACTCACGCGTGCGGGACGTGCTCTATTGCACCAAATTGCACTCATCCCCACGCGGGCGGCCACCACTTACCGAGATGTACCAACCGATCAACGACTCAGTGTTCGTATACCTCCAATCCCCAAGCACATGCACCCTGAACATCATGCGGATCGTAGGGCTGACCGAGCGCGCCAACTATACAGAAATGTCTCTCAAATCGTTCCGATGTCACGTACACAGACGCCTAGCGACATCCACATCGATCAACAATGGTGGCTGTCGCCCTGGTCCCACACCGTGGGTGGAGCACGGCATGTAGTGTAATTCACTGCAGCGATATAACAGTTGCCGAAGAGGTTGTCATTGCTTTGGCAATGACCAACCCAATAACCAAGGTGATCATAAGTGATTCCCAACTCGCCATCCGAAATTTTGACGCGGGCCATATCTCTACGCAGGCATACTCAATCATAAAGCATCACACCCCGCCTGTCTCACCTCGTTTTTCTTATCTGGGCCCCAGCTCATGAATCCCTTAATGGAAATGCTGAGGCACACACTCTCGCCCGAGATCTCAACTGCCGGGCGGAGTTTCTTACGCCTTCTCAGGCCAGCGAAAAAATAACTCCTTTGGTCACTTACACAGACATTCTACAGCCCTACAGACTAAGCCGTCTCCGCTATCCTCCAGCTCATAAAAACCTCCCTCGACGTGATGCCGTCCTGTGGCGCAAGCTGCAGACAGGTGCCTTTCCCAACCCCTGGCTTTATAGCAAGGTATACCCACACCTCGTGACACCAAACTCCAAATACTGCTCACAATCAGCCACCTTCATACACATGGCATTGACATACCCACAGTACGCTGACGCTTCTCACACAGAAGATACATGGGAGTCCCTTCTGCATATCACTGACTCGGCACAGCAACGCCGGGTAATCTCACGCGCATTGGAGGCTGCGGTGTCCCAAGGGAAGCCCGCTGACATCCTCTAAGCAGCATAACCACAGAACACCTATACACTACCATGGCATAACCTACCTCTCGGCCGGTCCCCTATTTTGGGAGTAATAAAGTTTTGATCATCATCATGGTATTGATAGTAATAATCAAGCTCGGATGAATAAATGAATGGATGTATGCAGCTGTGCCCTTTAGATCGGGTAGTGGCTGACACCATCTAGCCAAAACGTTAAGTACTATAACTGTGTGTTTAAGGCAGTTTAAGGATTGCATTTCACTCGCGCCTCGATTGTAGCCACCACGATGTTCCTTCCTCCATGGTAGCCACCAATCAGTTAGCCTCCTCCTGGTTATTTCTACCCGTTTAAAGTTTATTTTGCCTTCACTGTCTCTAAACCCCAATTCTTAGCCACACGAGAGAGCACCGCGGTGCGGAGGGAAGAGCGGGCCACGCCCACCCATGACCTACTACACTCCTGACCTGTTCAGATAGCGGGGTTCCTATGGGAGCGCGTGTCCCCGCTCTCGTTCAATCGCTCGCCGTAGGTGGCGCTACCTATAACCTGTTCGTCTGCTTCTTTACGGTTGTTTTGTAGGCGCTGGTATAAGAATGCCTGCTTTCTGTGGTGAACTGTCGGCATATATGTGACTATTTCTTCCCATACATTGCTGGTCAAGTAAGCTGTTCAGTGCGCTTAAGAATTTATAGCACACTGGTTGACAAACGTGGAAACCCGTGGATTTACATGATTTTGGACAGCCTATGCGTTGTCGCGTGCATTTTATTGCAAAAAAAATTCTGAATGTCTTTTAGTATTATTATTTCTGGATATTTCTAAATTGTGGATCATAAATTCGCACTACGAGTGCTTTGTTGGTTAAAATTTGACTACAAAGAGTGAAGGTGACGTCAGCGAACAGGTGCTGCCTAGCGCCACGCCGCTCGTAGGTGACGGCCCTAGCGGCAGAAGGTATGAACTAGAACGTGGGCGCTGGAAGAGGTGCTCTCTGGGCAGGTCAGGAGTGTAGTAGGTCATGCGCCCACCTATAGAAACGCGCTCTTTTTGCTTACAATCTCGGAGGCCCTGCATAAATAGGAATAGTTGCGCCACAACTCTTCAGGGACCGACACCTGCTATATAAGCGCTGTAATTTCGAAGAAAACAATATGCGCTATTTCATTTGATAAGCAAACGTTCAAAAGGTGCTAGCAGGTATAAAGCTATTTCAAATACTTTACTGTTTATTTTGTTTTGATTGTTTTAATATGGTACGGTTAATATTACCGATTCACTTCGACAATTTCGTTGCTCGAAATACGCGGCCGTGTTGTGTAGTGGAGCGGTCTACTCTTGATCGCGCTAAACACGCTTGGCGGTTTTAATGTGACTTTTTTCTGCCCTCTTTCTCCTACATTTTGCGTTGCAGCCGAAGAAGATGGATAAAGTGGACGTTCTGTACAAAAAATACGACGTTCTGGCGTCAGCCGGAGACAAAATATCTGAGGTGAGACCCGTCTTGGCGGGCGTGAGAGATCCAATGCTCCCTGTGGTTACTAGGCCTACCTACTCATATGCCGGCATTTCCATGATCTGCTCATAATTTTGCGTGCGACACTGATTCGAAGCGTCGCGTGCATGTTGCGAGAAACAAGCCTAATGCCTGCGCGTATTTCTTTTGCTGACATTCTAAGGCGACGTGCGCTGGTGTCCGTTGGCCCGTCTCGTTCACCTCCACGGAGACGTTGTCAAGCTCAACTCTTCCAGTTGTCTGACTCGGTTCTTCTTGCTCTGTGTTGCAGCACGAGGCCGACTACTTAGTCATTTTGGAATCTGTCAAGGGTTCGCCGAGCGAAAAGCGCCTGGCATCTCAGTTCATCGCCCGCTTTTTCAAGAGTTTCCCACATTTGTCCGAGAAGGCCATCGACGCCCAGCTGGACTTATGCGAAGATGCCGATGTTGCCGTAAGTGGTTAGTCATTTCGTGTCGCCCTGGCCTTTTAGGCGAACTGTCTAAAACTCCGGGTGCAACTTGTTCTTTTCAGATTTTTTCGCCTTCGGTGATACGACTAAGTTGTCGTCGTGGTGTTGTTTGGTGTCTCCCGTTCTTTAATTATTTCGTCAAAAGGCACATTGTGCGATACACCGAACCCCTTAATTGGCATGAGCCAAACTTCACTGACTCGTGAAATTATCGTTCGCCGTTTTGCGTGACGTGGGCGCCTACAGTTCTGATACGAAGGGGGTTAGAAATAAAATAGACAATTTATAGGCCACTGCCACGGGTAATTTTCGTTCGTGCTTGTGTTGTAGAAGCTGGCGTAGTATTAATTATTCGTCTTGCGCAAGGAGACCTTAGCTGTCCTGCAGCTGTGATGGGGGATGGACACAACAGGTGCATGGCTTGTGTTGTTGCCAAGTAAAAATTGGTTTAGTTTCAGGAAATTAGTATTGGTAGTGCTATAATTTTTTTTTTTCATTTAAAAGGCCTTTAAATCGTTCAGAGGTTGAAATGTTGTAGGGGTGGGGAAGTTGTGCACGAGTGATTCTACAACACATAGCCGAGAGAATTTTTCTAAACTATGCCATAATTGGATGTGTTTCATGATAGAAATATGGTGATCGCTCCCTTCACTCCTTCCTACCTTCAGCTGGTCTCATCCCCCAAAGCCACTTTGCCCTTCTCACTGAGTGCCCTTCCCAATCTCTTGTGGCATACGTCATTGCTGGTGCTCGAAACACCGTTAACTTCCAGTTGCCACGACTTTGTCAACTCTGCTTGTTGTCTAACCGCTGTTGTCGTGTCAGTTCGTGCTCCTCCAAATCCTGCCAGTATGGACCTTTCAATGTGCGCATGCTTTCAAAAAATGGCCAACATAAAGGAACCATATGGTGACACATCATTCCAGAACACTTATGCACCATATGAGGAGCCACAGACAGCTGCTTGCAGACTAAATGGTATTCGTACGTTCTTGTTCGACCAACTGCAGCATGAAAGGTAGATTCCTTGTAACACTGTGCACTCATTGCGATGAACTTAAAGGAGCCTGCAACACTTTTTCAAATAAACAAATGACCTCACTATCAGAGTTCATCGCCTTACGAATGGATTGCTCTAATTCTTTTAGAATTCATCAAGTACGCATGGAGTTAAGGGCGATCACTTGCTCCGCCCCGCCGCGGTGGTCTAGTGGCTAAGGTACTCGGCTGCTGACCCGCAGGTCGCGGGTTCGATTCCCGGCTGCGGCGGCTGCATTTCCGATGGAGGCGGAAATGTTGTAGGCCCGTGTACTCAGATTTGGGTGCACGTTAAAGAACCCTAGGTGGTCAAAATTTCCGGAGCCCTCCACTACGGCGTCTCTCATAATCATAGCGTGGTTTTGGGACGTTAAACCCCACAAATCAATCAATCAATCAGCGATCACTTGCTCCAAGCGCCTTCTCACATGCCTTTAGCCCCAGAGAGCAGGCTGCAAAGCTGCATACGATAGGGAGGCAAAAAGCTGCTTCCGTACGCCAATTCACATCATGACCTCGAACATTTTCTTTCTTTTTTTTTTTTGACACGTGGCTCACTTTGGGAGTGATCGCGTGCTCTATAAAGCACCACGACAGCCATGGTCACTGTACAGCTTGCAATGCTCAAATTGACTGATGGCCATGTATGTGCTTCTATGTATGGGATCATTATGCAGTTGATTTCGAACATGCTGTATAATTTTTTTTTTTAGAGAAAAGCCAGCGATGCCTCACTGGCTTTAAAATTTGTTTGGAAATTTCATGCCATATGCTGTGTTAATAATGAGCTGAAAAGCTTGTATGAGCTCACACTACAAATTGCTAGCATTTTCTGGCCAGGTTCGAAAAGTGCTTTAGGGCCCCTTTTCAAGGCTTGTCTACAGCTTCGTCAAGTTAAATAAAAGTGCGAGAGTTTCAAAAACATGGTTTGCTAATTTTTACACTGTAAATCTCAAAGAGCAGAATAGAGATAAAATGATCTAATGTAGAAAAATAACACCCAATAAAGGGTTTCAGGTATCCAGTGGCAGCACCAGCATTAGCACTTTGGGAAAGATCACCACCTGGAGGTATGTTAAGGGCATTGATAAAGTTGCACTTCTCTTACTGGAGACACGTCAAATAGCACAAACGCGTAAAAACGACGTGTTGAAAAAAACTAATCACGGATGTCACGTTCATGATGGATTACCACACTTTATGAAGGGCACTGTGAGAGGGCGGTGATAGATATAAAAGGCGTGTTTTCAAAGCTTACAAAGTATGTGACCGTGGCACAATCGATAGCATGCTCAGCAGCTGTTGTCACCAATTGAGAGGTCGTGGGCTTGACTCCCGCCGACGGAACTTTCAACGCGACAGTGTTAAAGAGCTCGTTTCACAGAAATGTTGGCGTGGTTGGTTGGGAGCATAAAATCATTATCTTATGCGTGACCATAAATTTAGAATTACGCAAATAAAATAAATGATCAAAAATTCTCGGTCAAAGTGGGGATCGACTTTACGTCATTTAGGTCCGAGTGGAGATCAAACCAGGGTCGTTTGCGTGACAAATAGATGTATCACACGGCCTTGTGTGCACTTCTGAGTACAGTGAAAATGGCTTCCTCTGCTTAGAAAAGCAGCGAATGGAACTTTTTTTTTTAAGTACACAGGCATCCTGTATATCTGCTTCACAACACGACTTTAAATATAGCAGTAATAGTGCGTGGTACAAGCCCCCATTAACAACGGGCCTCAAAACATGTGATTAACAATGACTCCGTGGTTTAGAGATGGTCAACCACTACAATAGGCACACGCACAACTGTACCTATTCCCTTAATTAAGGCCACGTAGTGGGTGCATAGCAAGTTGGAAAGGATTTCATGCACTAAGTGTTTGAAGCACGCACTAGGAATAAGATATCGCTATCGTGTTCAACTCCTAAAGGTGAAGCTTTAAGGTCCCCTAATTTTTTTTGCTTTGTCTTCTAATTGTAGGTATTTTTTCGACATAATTTCTGACGGAAGTACATCACAGAAGTCTTGGTGAACTCCAGCTAAAAAAACTCTTTCGTGTGAAAAAAATACTTATAGTAAGGGAGGCTGTTACTACGGTCTCATTTACTCACATCACAACAAGGCAGTTGGAAAGTAACAACACCCACATTTTTGTAGTTAGTTTTGTTCTCATAATGCTGTATAAACGAGCCCACCAGTATTACATCCCACTTGGCCCTATTTCCCAATTGAGAAATATGATTTCACTGATAACTTTGGAACATACAGATCAGAAAGCAAGCCATCAAGGACCTGCCGAGTTTCTGCAAGGATAGCAAGGAGTATGTGCCGAAGATCGCTGACGTACTGGCTCAGCTGTTGCTGACTGAGGACCACACGGAGTTGGTGGTGATTCAGCACTCGCTGGTGACCTTGGTCAAGCTGGATGCCCGGGGCACCCTCGGCGGTGTGTTCTCCCAGGTTATGGCTGGTGAGGAGTTGGTACGGGAGCGAGCCATCAAGTTCCTCTGCACGAAGCTGCCTTCCATGGGTGCTGATGTGCTCACCAAGGAGGTCGAGGAGTTCCTCTTCCAGGAGTGCTGCAAGGCATGTCACCATGGTCTTACCCTCATCTCTCAAGCTTGCTTATTACGTGTTATAGTTATCAGGCGCTGGCTTTCTTTACGCTAAGTCTTGAAAAACCCCTTATAGGGAAAGTTTTGTTTGCGACTTTTTTTTTTACAGTAATTTGTTGCTTTGCTTCTGGTAATGCCGAAGTTGAATGGGAAATGCTCTTAACGCATCATATAATTGTGGTAATTGAGAACAGTTTTGCCTCAGTTCAAAACGCCCACCTAAAAACCATAAGAAACGTCCCACAGCAGGGCAGCGCCTGAGACTACGTGCACTCGAGCTTCGGTGACTGATTGCGTCGTTTTCAAATAGAGGATAATGGGGACCCACCGGCGATGAAGAAAGAAACAATGTGATTGCCTTGAGCATGTCCTCCTCGGAAAAAAAGCAAAGCATTCCTTCCTAGCTTATGCAGCCAAAACAACCTTGAGAGCAGGTAACAGAGCAAGACGAGTGAAGAACAATAAGTCCTCTCGTGGTCGAGGTATTGTGCCCGTTCAGCAAATGCTCTCTGGTGCCAACAATACTTGATTGACCTCTGCAAGGTCACGAGGTCAAGCAGGGCCCCTTGTGTACATCAAACTGCAGAAAATGTCGATTGCACCTGAATACCCACCCGGATGAGCACGCACCCTTACCTTAAAATCCGAATTAAAATATCATGTAGGCAGCACTTGTCCGTGATAATCAATCGGTTAGAAGTGGCCCTTTAGTTTTCACTTGAGAGTGTGTGTTGCAGGGAAAAAATGTGGGGAGGGAAGGTTCCTTTTTAGTCACATACTTTGAATGAATGCCAATGTGCAGGAATGCACACTTTTTTCACCCCTACTCTCACTGTTCAGCTCTACAGAATAATTGCATAGTATGGTAGCACATGTTTGATTACTACCTGCACTCACTGGGATACTGCTATCTAGAGTGCATAATGTCTCAAGTTGCTCTTTTAAAAGTTTCTGTGCAGTGCCTCCCGTCAACAAATTTTCTTTCGTACAATTCTATGTATTTCTTGATAATGAAAGCTACATATTTGTATACAGTTTTACTATTTTATTTTAGCCTGCAAGTATAATTTTGCATTCTATAGTACTCAGTTCTGTACACTTCTAGTGCTTTTTTTGTATTTCTATCAAAAGTTTTTGAATAGTATGACCCTCTCGGTAAATGCATTTATTTCGTTCATAGCGAATATAAGCAAAGCTACGCAAAAGCACTACGGGCTGAGGAAGAGAGGGCACAGAACAAGCACCCACATTCAAATGAAAAGTTTCTTCAAACAACATATTCTATTAGAAGGCACAAAAATTAGTTGAAAGTAACATACAGTAAAGCCAAGAAAAGTATAGGGCACATTAGTTGTAACAATTACGATCCAAATAGGAAGAAGGTAAAGTTGACGAAAAGATAGCATGCCGATGGCAGGGACCGAACCTGCAATCTTCAAATTATGCGTCCAATATTCCACTGAATGAGCAATGGCAGCAGTCATCCACGTTTTGAGGCATGTACTGTATTTACCCTCGTAACGAACATACTTTTTTTCTCGAAAAATCGGAGTTGGGGCGTGTTTATTATGCAGGGAAAATTTTATGAAAACTATTTTGGTATGAGCAAAAATACGGTAATGCAAAAAAAAAAGTTAGGTTGCTTAGCTTCTTTGTTGCTTTTCACTCATCTTCGGTGGTTGAAAGCGCTATCTTCTGCAAGCCGTTCCCACGCCGCCCGTGCATGCCATACAAGTTTTTCACGGTCGTCTTATCTCGCAATCGTTTAACCACAACAGTGGTGTCTGCTGTGATCTCGAGGGGCACCCAGAAGCGTGCGGTACGACACCACAACGCACTTTGCCAACTTCGCGGCAACCTCACACAACAACCGCTACTACGCCATTGACATTGTAGCAAGCTATTACCGAAGCATCAAAACAAGCCATCGATAACGAAGATTAATTACAAAAATACGACGGTTGCCTCGCTTGCTATCGAAGCAAGAATCGGGAACCACGTTGCGGAATTATTCTTGATTTTTGTTTTTAACAAGCGATTTCATTCTGGTTTTCCAGAAACCTGCATTACGATGGTGATGAATGGCCCTTTACGACCGCCGCTGCCATAGCGACAGCAAATCATGTTGTCGCGCGAAAATTGCATAAATGTGGTTGGCTTTTAACGTATCGTATTTGCAGGAAGTGACTGTCGATTGGCGCGGGAAGTTTCGGGACCTTCGCTCGCTGTGTGCTTGCTTGTCAGCCGCGATGTCTCTACACTTACACAATTCGTAAACTCGCGGTGGTGCATACTAGATATTTAATTAAAACTCGGTACGTGCCGCGCACAGATAGAAATACTTTACGGCGTGCGGCAGCGGGCAAAGGGGAGAAGGGAGCGAGCTGAGGTGGCAGAGGCGGGCCGGCATAATAATAGTAAAAAAAAAATATCCTATGAGCAAGGAGGTACCAGGTGTTGGTTAGGGGGGCTGCAGTGTATGAATGATGGGGGGGGGGGGGTGTTTATTACATTGGGAAAAGAAAAATTCGAATTTGGACGACTGAAATCGAGGGTGCGTTGATTATGCAAGTGCGTTCATTACGCGAGTAAATACGGTATATCTGTGCATTGAAACTGAGGATGACTGCCACTTTAGCTCAACTGGCAGGGCATTGCACGTTTAATTTGAAGGTTGTGGGTTTGTTCCTCGCTGGCAGCAAGTTGTCTTTTTGTCCAGTTCACTTTTTTGACATTTTCATCCTAAATTAATTCAACACCCTGTATGCTTTTTTTGGCTTTGTTGTCTGTTCTAAATAATGCTGTGTCTAACAAATATAAATGAGCCTCTAAAAATTCCCCTTCTTTCATTCAAAGCATAGAGAAAACTCGCGTCGTTACCTCCTCGTTAGATGTTGCGCTGTTTTGTTTAGGTTTGCTGTGAATGCTTGCCAACTTTCCTGGTTCTCAATCCCGAGTCTGCACATTCAGGTGATGCAGGATGTGACGGGCCAGGAGTTCACGAGCCTGATGCAGCTGCTGTCGGGGCTAAAGCTGTCGAAGACGATTCCGGGGCAACAGGCGCTCGTGGATCTGGCCGCAGAACAGGCAGACCTGGGCAAGCCACTCGGGGAGGCGCCTGGAGCAGGCGATGGAACCTCGCAGGCAGAGGCACTTGCGAAGCTCGTCCAGTGCGTACGACAGGCCTTGCCGTACTTCTCGGTGAGCGAGGCTCCTGTGTTTGTCCCATTCTACTTCCAGACCCTGCCCCTATTAGAACCCCGGAAGGGCAGGGCATCAGCAGGCGACATGCTTCCTGCGTGTCACTACTGTGTTGCAGTGAAGCATGTCTTAGTTTTCGTAGGTGCACATTACAGTTAATCACAAGGGTGTTTTTTTTTAAAGACGATATTCTTTCTTGGAGACGTACGACGCAAAAATTTTGGTCTGTCTGTCTGTACATTTGTCTGTCTGTCCACTCTTAACCGCATCGGGTATTTGAAACAGTCGACCCCATCCGCAGCGTCCACCAATGCTGCTCAAGATTCAGCGTTCATACATGTGCAATTGTCAATTAAAAATCAATTATTGCGCATGTCTGGGGCACCATAACAACACGTATATATTCTGCATGTGCGTCTTTTTCTAGAAAAGGCATGCATAAGTAATTCTAAGGACCGTAGCGCTTATCACGCTGCGCTGACTATGCAACACTTGCGCATAAAGGCGAGTGTTTCCAACGCTTTGCTAAGACGAGACGGTGGTGGCACCTACCTGTCGCCTTGCGTTCTACACCTTATCACCTCTGAGACGGGCGCACACACCCGTCTCAGAGCCGCCCGCTTTGTTTTCTAAGAAAACTGCCAGGTGGCGCTCATGTTTCACGTGTGACGTGACTTGATGCGCTCGTTTGCCTCCGCTGCACGCTCGAGGCACTCTTAATATCATTCACCGATTTTCTTGCGCAGAATATCAAATAAATGTTTTGTTCACTCTCTCCACACGCAAGACTATTGTCTTTCGACGACATTTGCAGATTAACATGCAGATACGGAGCCAATTTTTTTTTTCTTCTTTTGCAGCAGCGAGGTGTGCCATTCCTCCGTATTTGTGACAAAATTAAGTGTTACGGGAAAACATAACCCTTGGAGTCGCAAACGAGCTGGCACAGCAAACAATCAGTCCTGATTACTTCGAATAATACCAAGTGCCTTGCATCTTACTTTTTGCGTGTTCTGTTAATGTGAAAACCCGTTTAATTCAAAGATTTTTCGTGGCCCCAGTGACTTGTAATTAACGAGGTATTGCTGTACTGTAATTGCACATCTGTGACTTTGTTGCAGATGACTGGTGTGTTCTGTTAATTCGAAAACCCGTTTAATTCGAACATTTTTCGCGGCCCCAGTGACTTGGAATTAACGAGGTATTGCTGTACTTTAATTGCACATTTGCTACTTTGTTCCAGATGACTGCACTCGCGTTCGAATGCATGGGTGGCTTGACTCGCGGATTAATGTACAGATTCTTGGAGCAGCTTGACTGAAGTGAAAAATTCTGTAGGGGCTAGGGAGTGTGAACTTGTTTCTGGGACGTTTCACTCTGCATTATTATGCGCTCAGAAAAGTAATTTTGATTTGCCGTTGCTGCTGGCTTATTCTAATAAGGAGTGTCGAAATGTGCTGACGTCTCTCAAAATCATTTCTTTTGTGCAGCCGTACGTGTCTTCATCCAAGTTTGTCACTCACCTGTGCCAACATGCGCTCCCTGGCCAGCCCTTGTTGAAAGCCGAGACCTTGGAGCTCCTCAAACAGTTGGCCGAAATGGTGCCCTTTGCCGCGAACCTCTCGGCTGAGGATCTGGAGGCGTGCCTCAAGCTGGTCTTTGAGAAGCTTCTGGTGTGTACAAACACAGCAAACGATTTCACAAGCTGTCCGAAACTGGTGCTGGCACTTGCAGTTGTAGAAAGGCTGAAATCACACCTTCAGCCAGCACCAGTCACGCGACTACAGTTGAACCCCCTTATAAGGGGCATGCTCTGGGCAGCGATTCTTGTCTCTTATACGAGATGTCTCTTATAAGCACGGTACCACGTATGCATCTTTCTATCAAGCTGTATTTTACTGTAGGTGCACTGGTGTGTCTTATAGCCATTTGTTTCTTTTACCAGTGTCTCTTATGAAGGGGTTCGACTGTATTCGCTGTTTGTGGCCAAAAAGCAACTCGAAGTGATGAATGTTGCCACCTGCTTGCAACATATACCTGTCGCCACGGAGAATTTGTCTCCTCTCATCGCTATCGCCCAACAAAATATTTTAAGAGGGAATACGAGTCTTTGGCACCGAAAAATTGCGAAAAGGCTATTTTCGTAACCTACACGCATTATTGTCCTTATCCGAAAAGTATCATACCTAAAACGCATCTATTTCAACCACAATATAACATTTTTGCATCAATTTGCGTAGATGTAGAACCGAAAATTGTGCAACTTCGAAAATGCACAGCTCTCGTGCCACATCTTCCCCCGCGCCACTACTTTGGTCTTATTTTAAAGAGCAGCCAATTGTCTTGAATATTCGCGCGCTAGCGCTCTTCTCCATTCACTTGTGTCGGTAGAAAAATGGTGCAAAAAAGTTGTAAAACGACTGTACCTACTGGTTGTTCCAGGCACGCGACAAAAGCTAGCTACTCGATTGGCTGAGAGCATTGCCTGCAAGCGCGAGTGCGTCGTTGAGGCGACTGCCATTTTCTCCTGTTGCCCGCATTTGCAACAACGATGCCGCCGAGAAAGTTTGCGCACGACCACAAGTATGGCACAAAGAGAAAAAAGGGGCATATATTAAACATCAGAAAAGTCGCGGAATGATTGAGTGTCGTCGAGGATGACGTGGACGCCGAAAATGAGCGACCGCAGGCATCGAACGTCGGAGCCGCCGAATCGATCGAAAAGCGCCCTACAGGAGTAGGCCTAACATGCTCGACAACGAGAGCCCCTCACCACTACCGCAACGTCGGTCGCGTTCCTTGTGACACTGTTATCTTGGCACCTGCAGATAAGGATCAGCGGCAAAACAGGGCCAAAGAAAAAGTGAATGAGCTAGCGTTGACTGCCGCAACGACTGTTACGACCGTCATCTTTATCGAAGTTTTTCGGCCTTTGTGAACGGTACGAAAATATTTCTACACATTCCAAACGAGGGTGTGCTGTCAAAACGGGTTGGTTTCCTGTCGGCAAAACATGAAAAGGGGCCAGGACCGGTCTGCGCAAAGAAGGCACACAAGCCAAGAAAGGCCATTGTGAGCTCGACTCTATGCAAAGCTTTCCAGGCAAACAAGGATATTCGCTGCTAAGCCCCTGCTCCTAGCAGACAACGAGGAATGGAATGTGGGGTTGAAGGGAAGGAAAAAGAACTATCTGCTGCAGCCCTTGCGGGAGCCTGCTTCGACGACGAGGGATTAGTTGACTACTCCTCCTTCCCCCTTTCTCCATAGGTTCGGCTGAATGGGGTTGCATATTTTGACGATATGCTGGCCCACCACTACATTGTCCTACCCAAACAGTCAGGCAAGTTTGACACGTGTACTGGCAGCCGGTTTTTCGAACCTCACCCAGCTGCCAGAAGAATCTTGGAAACCAAAATCATCGGACGTGCGCGAAACTTGGTGACGTATACGAAAACGTCGGTGCAGTGCTTTAGTAACCATATTTGTGCATCGTGTAGACTGTGCCCTCTCCACATGCATTGTCTGGTGTCTTTCCCCGCCTTTGTGGGTAGAGCACCCAGACCATGGAGCACCCTATTGGCGGTAGCGGCGGACAATGCGCTCAGGGTTGACAATGTGGCGCTATATAAACGGAAGACTTTTGCATATTTGAAGTTCTACAGCTCAACGGTTCTCATGTACAGTTCTTGACTTCTACTTGATCACCTCTTTTCGAATTCTCAGTTACTAACCATTTGAATAAATTGTTGTCGTTTTTACGAGCGCCTCAACTGACTTGTTCGATGATGGGTCTTAGGACGGGGGCCCGCTACCAAACTGAGACCCGCAGGACCCGGAGTCACAACAGCAACGAAAGGTGGATTTGCTGGCTGCAAGCGACTCCGGTTCCTGCCCGCTTGTTTGAGACCTGTTTCACCGTGGTGTGCTTGGACTTAGTAAACACTCTTCTCGAGCACATGAAGTGCAAGTTATGTGATGGAGACAGCAAAATTTACCAGGACGAGCGAGAATACCGCCTTGCCGTGAAACTGGTGCTTTATTGCAGCAACTGCGGTGTGGAGCTCGCCGCGCGTGGACGGGGACAAAAAAGTGAAATCGTTTGCCATAAACATTCTGGCCGCACGCAATATGCAAACTACTGGCAACAGACAAACGGCCCTGAATGATTCAGTCGAATCTTGATAATTCAAACTCGAAGGGGCCCGAAAATTTGTTGGAATTAAAAGAAGTTCGAATTAATGAAAGCTAAATAAACGGAGGGCTCTCTATGCAGTGGCGCATGCGCATTGAGCTAACACAGGGGGGGGAAGTTTCAGAAGACTTACATTTATTCACAAATCACAGGACATTCGTTATTAATTAAAGTAATCGGTGATACGCATCTGCACACGTTCGCCTTGCAGCGAGTCAATTAATTCCACACGCAGCTTGCAAAGCATTTCTACTTTGGCTTCAACATTCTCCTGGCAAGAGAAGTTGCGCACGGAAATGTCCAGCGCCGACACTTTCTACAGACGACGACTGCTTACCGGAGCCTCTCCGCTACGCAGCTGCAGCATGACCAGCACATGACCAGAAAGGAGGATGGTCTCCACGCGGAGAGAAGTAGATCAGCATTTGAAAGAAAACCAACACTTGACGGCAGCTTTTTTTTTTTTTTTTTGCTCTCTTTGCACGCGTCGTTGAAAGGATAAAAGTTACGTGGCAGGGACACACGGCAGGGACGGGAAAGGGAGGAGCCTGGCACTGGTGCGTGCCAGACCCCCCCCAGTTCAAGGCGCAGAGCCGTGCTCCCGCAAGGGGCAAGGGCTGCAGAAAAAGGTGCCTTTTTCCTTTCCTTCAACCGCACATTCATTCAACCCAGCGACAGCTTTTTTTCCTCTCTCTCTTCGCGCGCGGTGTTTGAAGGAGAAGGGTCTTTATGTGGCTGGGACGAAAAAAAGAGAAGCGCGGCACGGTCACGTCGCAGATCGGCATTTGAGAGGGAGCCAACACTCTACCACAGCCTATTCTTTCCTTTTAATTACTTTCGCGGGCACCGTTGAGGTGTCGCAGCTGCCGCCGCGGGATTGGGTGGGGGGTTGAGAGCATACGCGGAGCACGGTGTTCAAAATAACCGTCGCAAGTGCTTACGCGTTAGAAATAGCGGGCGTTTTCGCCCGTTGGAGTACACATAGCTTTGACGGGACCTGATTGTGAGTTCGAACCGGAAGTTCGAATTAAGGGTGGACATGGCAATGAAAACTATCTTTGTTATTTATGGGGCTAAAATGATAACATTTGGCACACTGATGTGATTTTTTATGCTGAAATCATGACCGAAATCTGTTTTGAGCTATCTCTTGTAGTTTTTGAGTTACGGGACTTGATATAGTCTCACTGTCATCCCAAAATTAATTAATGAATTATACAAAAGTTCGTCAAAATTTTTGATTGAGCATATTCAGCAAGGCCCACTGGGTGCCGTAAAGCTATTTTCAATGTCCACATAGCACAGAAAAAATTTTTGAAATGTCCTATAGATATTTTCTTAACAACAACTTTTGCAAAAATAGAATGATAAAAAATTTTGTAGCGGCCAGATAAAAATGAATAGCGTTATGGTGCTCATCAATGTTTCAGGATCTGAGTGCGAAAAACTGAATGATTTTATCTTCATTAGCTATGAAGTAGCACTGGGATGACTGACAGCAACTGCACAAAAATGGAAGCTGAGAAAACTGAGCTCAAAGTTTTATTGCATGAAAGCAGTTAAATATTAGCTTTGAACACCTAAAACCCGCCTGGGATGTAGTCCTTTGTCTTTGCAGAGACATTTTGTTTTGATTTTAATCCAGTTTTTCGTTTCACTGAAGCAGTTTCGTGCCCTTTGGTCGCCTTTTTCTTGCGCCGTGCGTCTTTTTCAGCAGCGCACCGCAGGTAGCACAATCCTGGAGTATACCCAAGTTGTGGTGTGATCTCTTGTAGTGCTTTTCCACAGCCAGCATTAAAACGGCAAACTGCATCTGCCACAGAACTCTCAACAGTTAAAAGAGAGGCAAACTGTGTTTTACAGAACTCTCAACAGTTAAAAGAGAGGCAAACTGGATTGGAGCGACCAAATCACATTGTTGAGAGACTCAATGGAATTTTGAGTTCTGCCTTGCTGGCATCTTTCCAGTAGTTCCCTTGCTAAAAGGTGCGTATATATAGGCAGGAGTGTAGCCCGAACATGTGCAGAAAGCTGCAACTTGTGCGCAGGTGCTGGTTCCCCTGAGGCCGCCGCAGCATTAGCACCACGAGTTCACTCCAGTAGAGCAGTGCTCATGGGGAGGCTCATAATCAGTGGATGTAACATGGTAAAAGGTAGCCATGATGGCCTTTTGATGGCCCATCTTGTGGGAATTGAGGCTAGCCCGCTGCCTTTGCGCGGGCTTTGCCGCCTTTTCTGCCGTTCTCATGTCCCGACATGTCTGCCCTCCTTTGCTGTCTGCCGTGGTGGGTGAGCGGAGTGACGTTTAACTCCCTCACCCGGAAGCTGATGTTGACTGTGGCGCCGCACGCGGGGACTCGCGAGAGGTTTTCGCGCGCTGCGTCGGGAGCGGTCAGATACTCTCCGGGACAGCAAACGGTGAGCCACGCAATCTTTTCCGTCCGTCGACTCCCGTCGCTCGTGGGCTCGTCGGACTTCGCT